GGAGAAATCTATCCCATATTACTTGCAGCTAAAGTACTTTCAGGAATCTCCAAGGGACAGACTGATAACACTGTGCATGTAACACAAAATGCTATGTCTTAAAATTGCACAGCTATGTTGTGGAGAGAGTGACATAACCAGAAGCAGATGGTGAAGAATAGAATAGACCTTGGTGGGGCGGGGGGCAGATGAAGACATTTTCACCTTTTCCTGGCTCTGTAACGTACACATCAGAGTGCAAAATACTCCCAATTTAAGCTGAATTGTTTTTTCAATTTTTCCTATAAGGGTTTGGGAGTTTCATTTGGATTTCTCATAATCTAAATTGTGATGTTGTACATTGACCTGCTTTATAAAATATCTTTCTTCTCCTTTTAGCTCTGACTGATCTGGAGCTTGTTGCCCAATCTATTATCTTTCTGTTTGCCGGCTATGAGACCACTAGCAGTTCTCTTTCTTTCCTTATGTATTTGCTGGCCACTCACCCCGATGTGCAGCAGAAATTGCACAAGGAGATTGATGCAACGTTTCCCAATAAGGTGAGTGGGTGATACTTGGAGAGCGAGGGAGAAAGTAAAGCCTTATCAAGAATGCCTCCTCACCACTTCCTAAGAGAATTTTTACAAAGAATGTAAACATGAATTATTTTACTTGTGCTATTTAGGAATGATGTAAAAGGACAAAAACAATCAAAGAATATAGGTAATTTTTGTATTAGACGTATATAAGATCTTTGAAAAAGTGTTGGTCCTGTTGTGTCAGTTATCTGTTATAACAATAATGTCAAATGAAAAAAAATTTTAAAACCTCAGTGGCAATTAACAATAGGAATTTATTGCTCAAGTGTCTAGATAATTACCTGTGTTGCTATTGACTAGACTTGTTTTAGTCTGGCTCTTGGCTGATCTAGGCTGGTCTTGGCTAAGCGGCTGGGTGAATCAGCTCCACACAGGATCCACATATCTCCAGACAACTAGACTGGGTGTGTTCTTCTCAGGCAGTGACAGAGGGAATGACCGGAATCTACCACCTTGGGTAAACTGTGCAATCTAGGAGAAGCCTGGTATACAGAAAAGAACATAGTGTAGGAAATAGAAGACATGAGTTTGAGTCCAGACTGTGGTTTTGGATAGGTCTTAAGAACTCTCCGTGTCATAGGTCCTTCAAATATAAAATATACAGTTTAGGGTCCAAATAAATTAAAGATTATTTTCCTTCTCTGGGTAAGCCTATATTGGAGATCATTTTATTGCATTAAGATGAAAAGGTCACTAAGAAACAGACTAGCTAAAGCATTATGTCCTCCCCTCTTAATAAGAGTAACAATGACAACAACAACACTAATAGCTAACATATACTTCTCACTATATTTGTCTGTTCTAAATGCCTCATATTTATAAATGAATTTTTTAAAAATTATGTATTAAAAATAGAAAGACTCATAGATAGAGAACAGACTATCAGAGGGGAAGGGGGCTTTGGGAGGCTGGGTGAAAAAGGTGAAGAGGTTAAGCAAAAAAACCTAATTCATACAGCCCTAGCCACCTTGGCTCAGTGGATAGAGCTTCGGCCCTCAGACTAAAGGGTTCTGGGTTTGATTCCTGTCAAGGGCACATACCTTGGTTGCAGGCTGGACCATTGCCATGATGTGGAAGCAACCAATCCATGTGTCTCTCTCACATTGATGTTTCTCTCTGTGTGCCTTTCCTCCTCCCTCCCACTCTCTCTAAAAATAAATGGAAAAATATCCTTGCGAGAGGATTAACAAAAAAAAGAAACTCATAGACACAGACAACAGCATGGTGATTGCCAGAGGAGAATAGGCGTCGGCAGAAGTAGAAGAGAGTATGGGGGGAGGGAGGAGTAATAAATGGTGATGAAAGGAGCTTGACTTGGGGTGGTGATCATACAATACAATATACAGATGGAGTATTATAGTATTGTAACTGAACCTATATAATTTTATTAACCAATGTCACCCCAATAAATTCAATTTAAAAAAGTGATACATTAGTCAGAATAGGCTAAATTTGCCAGAACTACAGATTAGCCCTCTATTCTCAGTGGATTTACATTGCAAAGGATTATTTCCAACTCACATTAACATGTCCAACATCGATTGTTAATGAAGGATGGGAGTGGGACTTTGTGCTCCATAAGTACTTGGAAATATAAGCTAAAAAGGACCCATTTTCTTGTAGCCCCACTTTCTGGAGCACAAGGCCTTCATGTTGGTTGGGGAATAAAGAAGTAGAGTGTTGCTCACTGGATTTTCAAGTGTTTTGACTCTGAGCTGACATATGTCACCTCAGCTCGGAGCCCATTCTCAAAGCTGGTTCCCCCTAGCTTTAAGTGGGCTGGGAGATGTGGAGACTACATGGATATTGGGTGAGCATTGATGTCTCTACCAAACAACCCTATGAAGTGTCAACTCTAAATATCTCCATGCAACATATCAGAAAACTGAGAGGTGAAATAATTTTCATACACTACTCATATAGCTAGTGGTGAAGAAGCCACTAGCCAAACCCTTAACCTCTACAGTATTGCCTGTTCAATATAACACCAAGTGATACCCACATATTGCCCACACTGTTTTCAGATATCTGACAAAACTGGAACTCTTTGTGGTATGAAGAGACTGGCCTCTGGGGCTGGCGAGGCTTGTATGAGATCTTCACAGCTTACAGTCAAACCCTGAACAACAACTAGGAAACTGTTCCAGCAAGGCAGCATGAGGCTGAGTGGGGTTCCACCTCTTCATAATTTCTGCTAGGATGAAATTATGCGCCCTGCTTTCATTCTTTTCAGTCACGCCCTTCTGTTGCTATACTTACAGAGTTTTGTCATTTATAGAGTTTCTATTTATATGGAGTTTCTCTCCAAATTATATATATAATCTAAAGGCTTAGTAAGCAGGATTTCTCAACTGAACACTGTCAAGTTGGAATTTTGCTCTTTTACACATTCTCTTTCCTTGGCACAGAAGTGTAGCCTATCTTTTGGGAAAAAAAACAACAACAATGACCTTACCGTATTTCAGTTAAGAATATGGGTCATAGTCTATTACTCACATGAGTTAAAAAAAATCACTACACAGTAATGTGAGGGATTTGGGGTACTGTTTAAGGAGTTGTCCCCAACGTCCCCCCATAGTCATAACTACTCCACACATCTCAATGGGCCATTAAGCAGACCAATGGACACGACAGATATTAAAATGTCTATAAATCCTAAAGTCCTTTACCCAAATAAGTTATTCTTTGGAGCTCCTAACATTTCTATAGAACTACATAGACTGAATTGAAAGTTGATCTCAAATCTCAGTTTATCAAAATCTGTTTCTTTCTTCCCAGGCAACTCCCACCTATGATGCCCTGGCACAGATGGAGTATCTTGACATGGTGATGAATGAATCCCTCAGACTATTCCCAATTGCTGGTAGACTTGAGAGGTTCTGTAAGAAGGATGTGGAAATCAATGGGGTGTTCATTCCCAAAGGAACACTCGTGATGGTGCCAAGCTTTGTTCTTCACCTAGACCCGACGTACTGGCCAGAGCCGGAGGAGTTCCGTCCTGAAAGGTACTGGACCCCTGGGAAAGAGAACCCACCCTCATCCAGGCTGATTGGACATAATCTGATGTCTTTTAGTATAGATGATGTACATGTGGTTGTACAATCATTTATTGTACATTTTTCTGTTTTTACCAGTTTGTTTTT